TGGTAAGTAGCTTTGGTAGACAGACATAGGAGTGCAGGCTTTGTAACGAAGGACAGCTGGGTTTCCATCCACACCTTCTGTAAGCTCAATCATTCTTCCCTATCTGAGCTTCAAGTTCTTTTTAACAGAAAAATGAAATAAAATTACTTTGTAAAATTATTTTAATGACATAAATGCCACAAATATAAAGTACCTGGTATCCACATATTCCACAGGAAATAAGCTATTTAATTTGGAACTGAGTATTTTTTTTAAATTTTGAACTCTGAACAAATTTCACAATAATCATTATTCAAGATGACTCTAATCTATGGTATCATGAAGTCTATATTTCAGGTACAGTATTTACTACAGAAACTATCCCATGAAAAAAATGGATCCCACATTTAAACAACTAAAAAAGGATCAAAGTTTTGGAAGATAACCTGATCACCTATCCACAGTCTGTTTCTGCCTCCAGCATCATACCTTCAAAAATATGTTATATTTTTCTTACATTTTTCACTTAGTTGGGTTATTTGGTTGCAGTCATTTGAAATGCATCTGGCTTAGACTGAAAAATAAATTTATTAGAATGAAGGGGATGGCCCATAGAATTAGAGGAATTATTCAACAACCTGATCATAAGAAGGATAGAAACGAAATACCTCTGAATACCTAGGGAGCAAGAATAGAAGGACATTTAAGCTTTTGTGATGAATGAATGCCTGGTGCTATTTTACACCTTTGAGTCACTTGGCTGAAAACACATATATTGAAAAGAGATAGCCTGATTGAATTAGGTTGGGTCACTTTCCACTTCTTATCTTAAGAATGAGAGGCTCTTAGCAATGGGGCTGCATGCAATGGAGAAGTTCCCCAAAGGAAAATTTAAATGTTGCCACCAGAAGAATGTAAATGAATCCTTGGCAGGTAAAACTGACAGATGCCTATTATTTTCTCTTACCTTTTTTTTTTTTTTTTTTTTTGAGACGGATTGTTGCTCTGTCGCCCAGACTGGAATATAGTGACGTGATCTTGGCTCACTACAACCTCCACCTCTGGGTTCAAGCAATTCTCTTTGTCTCAGCCTCCCAGGTAGCTTGGATTACAGGTGAGCATCACTATACTTGGCTAATTTTTGTATTTTTAGTAGAGATGGGATTTCACCTTGTTGGCCAGGCTGATCTTGAGCTCCTGACCTCAGGTGATCTGCCCACCCCGGCCTCCCAAAATACTGGAATCACAGGCATGAACCACTGCATGAAGAGCATAGATTCTATATCAGAAATTGACC